GTACCGTTATGATCTAGGTGTCGGGTCCTTACGAGTGGGGCCACGCTTTGTACGAAAATTTTTGTGTAATATGATCCCAAGCTCCCTGAAGATGTAGGTAATTTGTGTTTTGGAGCCCCCCCAGATGATAAAATTAAACTTCAGGTATAGTTTTATAATACCACTTTTTCATACAACCCCTCCTTCAACTGCTTATCCATGATCAAACAATCAGAAACTCAGCTCAAAACACATGCTTGTTTATAAAAACATCCCAAACACCCTGAAGGAGTAGGAAAAATGGTGTTTGGGGCTCCCAGATGTTGACAAATTTCAATTTCAGGCCCAGTCTATTAATGTCACTTTCCCATATTCCCACTCCCTCACCTTCATTTCCACGCTCAAAAACTAAAAGTACCACATTTGGCTCCCGCTCGGCCATAAATCACACACATGAACATTGAAGGATTGGTCCTATGATGTCAGAATTCAATCCATCAATTCTTCTCTCACAGGCGCACATTTCTTCTCTATTCAACTTTACCATAGCTCACCTCCTTCACCTTCATTTCCACACTCAAACACTCAAAATACCCCTTTTGGCTCCCGCTCTGCCATAAAATACACAAAAGATTATTGAAGGATTGTTCCTATGATGTCAGAATTCAATCCATCAATTCTTCTCTCACAGGCGCACATTTCTTCTCTATTCAACTTTACCATAGCTCACCTCCTTCACCTTCATTTCCAAACTCAAACACTCAAAATACCATAAAAAACCAATCTTTTGCCCACAACCTGTAGTTAACAGATATCATTCAATATGGTATTTGTCTAACTCTGAAAGCAATCCTTATGACTTGAAATACTACACAAATTACAAACTCCCGTTGAGCAACAAAGCCAATGAATGATCATTTGCAACAAGGTTTTGGTGATTATTTCTGAATCACAAGATCATTTTCACACGGATTCCTGGATGATGTAAACAAGTCAATCAAACCACTCTACTTGTCAATTGTTTTTGAAATTCCATGAATCTGAATGGCTGTCAGCAAATACACCTTGAAAATAGAGCGTATTTTCCATTCAATTCAATAACCAATGGAGTGCTGTGATCTGCTGCGATGATTCGAGCAATGAACATATCAAAGGGTCCTGCCCTGTCCTAAAACGGAAGGTGGCAGGACAGGCAGTCAGCCTTGATAGCCTTTGATTGTTGAGTTAATTAACCCATTCCATTCCAGTTTGTAATGGTAGGTTTATCCATTCCGAATCTGAAACAAAAACCAACACCCATCTTCAAATACTCAGAGACAATACCAAATGGCAGGCTCAGTTATCGCATGCCCGAAAGGCAGTCGAATTCCCAAATGCAAGGCACCAGATACTCTAGCAACTCGCAAGAAAGCTGAACGAGATGCAGCTCAAAAGGCATGGGCTATGAAGAAGTGTGAAGAAATAAAGCAAGCGCTTGATGACGCAACATCAAATCCTTTTGAAACCAACCCCTTCATAGATCCAACTTCCGACAATGATGATGATGATCCAAATGATCGATTCGAAGGACTGAACGAAGAACGCTTCCCCAACGAAGAGCCTGTTGATGAAGATGAGCTATGTGTAAATGAAGATGAAGAAGGATATGTTCAATATGTCTCAAGAGACGACTACAAGGATCGTCGCATACGGGAGGATACTCATTGGAAGATGATAATGCAGAAGGTCTTTATTGCTTATATGAAGTGTTCCAATCGTACATCAAGCTGGGGTAACAATAACTTGTGGGATCACAATTTCAACAACGAGGAACCTTGCTCATGTGAAGAACAGGTCAAGCGCATTCGTGCTGTAGACATTGTGGACTTGATTCGTTGGTGAAAGTCTGAAAGTCTCTATGTTGGATGCTGAGCTAATCTCTTTGTCACTAGATCGTAGGAAGGTCAATTTTGAATTCTGTCGCTGTACGCCGGATCAAGTACGACTAATCAATCAAGGATATTTGGGAGGGACTCCAGTTAATCCTGAGACCGCTTTCTCCTTACGATTACTTCGTTTTTATCACTTATCTTGGGAATATTGTCATTCCACTATCCAACCTTTTTCAATCATGATCGATAAATATCTCGATGCAAATAACCCTCTGATTACGGTGTCTGGAACTCACGAGGTTCATTCATTTTCATTTTGTTTTGTATTCTTGTGTACTTAAACTGACTTACGCGCGAATTTCTCTTTAGCCTCGTCTATGGCAAACACCGCTCTCAGCTGCTGTTTACTGCTATCGCCAGATACTGAAAATGATCGAGGATCTTGAAAGCTGTAGCCTTGACCTCACTCCGTTGGAGAAGCTGGCATGTAATTGTGCTAGGTGTTTTGGACCTGCTGGTTCACAAGGTATGCAGAAAGGACCTCAATACATTGTATGTGTTGATGGCAACTTTCAACAGCGGCGGCATGAGAAAGCAAGTCGAGAATTTGATGAAATACCAATATCGACCCCTTCTATATTCATGCCTGCTGAAGATGTCTTGAAATGGGAGCCCGAGCCCACAAATTCTAGACATACCAAAGTTCCTTTAGTATGTATATACTGCCTACCTTATCTTGATTGTGATGTTATCACAAGCTGACCCTTGCTTCACAGGATCCATGTACCACGCAACACACGGCGGCGGCAGACCGCCGAGATGCATCAAGCTGGCAAGGGTGTGAAGAGACAGGCCTTATTGGTTTAGCATGTCGACATGATCACATGCTCAAGCTAGTCAATGTTGTTCGCAGTGGGGAGAAGTGCGTAGTTTTCTTGTCTCTAGATATTTTGGATACTTACTGAAGGTTACATCATAAACTTTTCAGGGCATACTTTGTGCATGCCTTGATCGGGCTTTTGTTTGACTCGATTCTAGAAGCCTGTTCAGACACCAACAAAGCGGAGGTAGGTGTTTTGTATGACATTGGGTGTACAATGGAGAAAGGTGTAGTGAAAGTAAGTCTTCTGATTCAATTGTGCCGTTATATTGTGTGCTTAGTGCGTTAATTATTCATAGAATGATCTCTTCAAAGACGAACGCATGAAAGGTCGATTGAAGTTTGGTACGAGCGCATTCCATGCGTACGTCCATCAGTGGAGTTGCCAACTTCAATACAATCCGCGTCTCAATGCTGGTTGGGGATTCTCGGATGGAGAGGGATTAGAACGTAACTGGGGTGAGATATCACCTCTCATTGCTTCGCTTCGATGGGCTGCTAGACAGACGCGTCTGGACGCTATACATTTAAAGATTAGGCATGGCAATTCGATAAAGCTCCTCAAAGCTGGTAGGTTGATTCTTATATATGACAGCTTCTATCTGCTGACTAGCTTATTTTACAGCCAAGTCGGCATCCAACAAGCTGAG